ATCTTCTCATGTCCCTCTGCAGATGGCATTAGGATTACGTTGGCAACGAGTCACCACAACCTTTGTCTCCTGCTCAGAGTGACAATAACAAAGGGCTTTCATGATGTCTCCATTGTTCACCATAAGGTGCACATGGGCCTGCTCAGGAGTGTCATCACACACAAGAGCCATGCACTCTATCAGTGTTTAGGAGATGTAACATTTGCTCTTGACATTTGCATTTTAGACATTTCGTTGACCTTTAAACCTGGAGTGACTGAACAGGATCTCGGGAGCCTTCAGGTATCAAAACATGAATCCAGAATCTAGACTACAAAGCAGGTGAAGGCCATTCTAACATGATAAATTGCAATTCTGTGCACAAAGCAGCCTACAGACCCTGTACAGCAGCCGCTCTGCCTCAACATCCTGTTTCGCAAACGACAGGACGATGCTGCAACATCAGCAAGGGAAACCCGATGTGTCGCTGCAGTCACATTTCACAGTTGCAATCCCTTCCGGACCTCTCAGACTTCGCGTTTCATGTACTTAACCAGAGCCACGCCAAACTCTTTTAAAAAATTCGGCAATTTTACGCGCCCTTTGATTACAACGGTGTCCGTGCCTGTACACAACAATACTGACAGCGTTTTACAAGTGTCCAGAACCCAGTCTTTAATTCGGCATACACTAATAAACGGTGCTTCATTTAAATAAATATTAAACTCTATCTGGCTAGCTTGACATCCTCTCTGTGCTCTTTAACTGAGCCTTACTGTTTGTGTGTTACAACAGTGTTATTGACAGTTCATGATGAGCACCTTCAACAAGGAAGGCAGACATTTTACCGCAAAAAAAGACATTTACTAAAACAATTTTCACGCCGAATTGTCCGCTGTTTGCTAAGTAGTTAGCTAAAGTCTTTAAATAGGTCAAAGCACCTATGTAAGTTCACTAATAAGCCAGAAAACTTTAAATTGCGAAAGTTTAGAATGGAGTTCGGCGTGTCGAGAGAGCGGCTCGTCTTTAGGTAATATCCTGTACGGACTGAATCGCATGATCATAAAATTTGATCACCGGCTAAGAGGAAGTGCAGCAACAGTTTATATCATCCATGTCCCGGGCATCCCTGTTGCTGTTGGACCGCCTCTGTCTCTGAAGGCACCGGGAGAGAGGAGCTGTCAAAGCGCCATCTCCATCCTTACCTTCCCGTGCTTTCAGCAGCACCGTGTTGGCCACGATATTCTCCAGCTCCATGTTGATGCTGTCTGGGCTCACAGCAGCAGCAGCAGCAGCGGCAGCAGCAGACGGAGCTCCTGGTCCCTCCGGCGGCTTCAATCACAGTTGATCCTCCCTACACACCGTCCACCACCTCCTCCCACCGCCCAGCCAAGGAGGAAAAATTCAATCCTCCGTTTCTGCTTTCGCACAGTCCTGTCCGGTGACAGACAGTCCGCACCCCTCCTCTCCTCTTTCTCCTCCTCTTTCTCCTCCTCCTCCCTCCGTCTCTCCGCCCAGAGGCTGCTGTCAGAGAGGAGGAAGAAACACAGACTTCTCACTCTGTTATAAAATGGTTGTTTGAATTAAAAAGACAGAAAATGACACAGATATTACAGACAGACCTCTCACTCTGCTCAGACTTCCCCCATCGTTGATTTATTTATTATTATTTATCAATTTATTTATTTTCATTTTAAAAAGCTGAAACATAATAAGTTAAATTGGTATCTTATACGGCAATATGGCCCCACCTGTCATTTTTTTTTGCTGTGATATTTTCATTATTATTATTATTTTAAGAGTATTATTATCAATACTAATAATAATAATATTTTGAAAAAGTTATTATTAACATATTCTTCTTCTTCTTATCATTATTATTATTTTGCATTTTGAG